AATAGAAGTAACTCTAAAAATCGGATTTGTGCGACCTTCTCAAGATAAATGGGGCACACTGTATATAAATTAATTAGGTAACATTCAAATATAAGATTACGAAACTGGTTTACAGCAACTCATAAATGAAATGATCGCTACACCTACACCCCAAGTCGTCTTGCCTATGCTGGTGAAGTTAAATCGCAATGAACCATCCCCTGAACCTGATATCGTTTCTGGTAAAAATGCCTGCTTCAAAAATATCGTATGTAACCCGCTATTTATTTTCGTTCTGTTCCGAATTCCATTGATGTACTCGGACAAAAAACGAAATTTACCCTTTAGTCAATTAATAATTCTAGTTAGTTGATACGTTCTTTCTAAAATACCTCAGGCCGGGCCCGACGTTGTTGCGACTTCGCACGTCCCTTTTTTTTTACTTTTGTTTACTAATAATTCATTTATTGTCTACCATCAAGCAACGTTGCTCCCGGTACTCACTCCGTAGTAGTAGTTGAATAGGTAACCACTCGAAAACTTGGTTCGTTAATAAAAAATGTGGGATAGTATATGAAAAAAAAAACAGTTCTGTGACATAATGGCGTTACTCGTATCTCGTATATTTCAAAAAGGTTTTTGACAATCTTAATCCTTTATGCCTAATGTACGCCGCCAAAATTTTAACAAAATCATAGTAACCGTTTTGCCGACAGAGAATATTTTAGTTTTTTAACTTTGACATTTTTCTTCTCAGTTTTTTCTGTTGTAATAAAATCTGGCACAATTGTTGTTGTTTTCCGTGAAAAAAACATTTTGCTAAGTCGTCAGGCAACAGTGCTATGGCTAATTTACTGATCCTTTGAAACTGTGAAAAAATGTCAAATAACTTCGAAACCATGTCAGTTAGACATTGCATCATATTAACAAAATCATACTGCTTTTTTTATGAGTAATTCAAAAATACCCTCAGAAGAGATAGTGCTATTTGAAATAAGAAAGTTCCGGTATCGTTCTGATACAACCCGAATCAATAATCCAAACCGTTCCTGAGATACTTTTAATGGTCCACTTAAAAACACCACCCTGTATAGGGGGTTTTATTTAATCATATGCAACTTTGCCATAAATCACCCTGTACCTATAACAATTGCAATTTCGTAGAAAATATTTTTAGGTTGCAGCCTTAAGAGCCCTTCAACATGCCCCGACAATGAATTTTAAATATGTGCGTTAATAAACCCATAATCTTCCATCCATGCACTAATGGTCTACCCTGTATTCAGGGGCGGACTGGCACGGGGGGGCGGGTGGCGATTGCCACCTAGCCTGTAGATCATAATGGTCCGTTGGAAATTTATAAATATGTGCTGTATTTAGTTTCTTGCACTATTAATAAATTATTAACACGTTTCTCTAATTGGGGTTGATGTTAGGTTGTTAAAAAATTCTGTTTTAATTGAAGTGTTTTACAATGAATTTATCATTTTTTTGTCGTAGCATGAAAGTGCTGAAATACAATGATAGGCGACGCACCTCGTGTGGATTGTATATTTTGTTACTTTTAATTATCAGCTGCAATTTAAAAAAAAACTGTGTGGTAATTGATTAACTTTTGAACTAGTAGCCCAATTTTGGAACTGTTTGAAATTATGGATTCTACAGGCCACATTCTATAAGAAAATTTTTTTCCGGGGCGATCTGAGACAATTTTTTTTTCGGGGCTCAAAAAAAGGCAGTGTATAACCTTCCTTTTTTACCAAAAATCGACTACACCAAAATTTCTCGGGAAAACACTTTTTCTTATTAATTTGGGTGCGTAGAATCCAAATCAATTCGTACTTTTTCGATCAGACTTCTCAATCAAAAGTTATAGACTAGAAACCAATTTCGAAAAAAATTCAAAGGGCTGTAACTTTTGAACTAGTAGCCCAATCTTGGAACTGTTTGAAATTATGGATTCTACAGGCCACATTCTATAAGAAAATTTTTTTTCCGGGTCGATCTGAGACAATTTTTTTTTCGGGGCTCAAAAAAAGGCAGTGTATAACCTTCCTTTTTTACCAAAAATCGACTGCACCAAAATTTCTCGGGAAAACACTTTTTCTTATTAATTTTGGTGCGTAGAATCCAAAACAATTCGTACTTTTTCGATCAGACTTCTCAATCAAAAGTTATAGACTAGAAACCAATTTCGAAAAAAAATTCAAAGGGCTGTAACTTTTGAACTAGGAGCCCAATCTTGGAACTGTTCGGGGCTCAAAAAAGGCATAACCAGGGGCGCACTGGCCCGGGGGGGGGGGGTGGCGATTGCCACCTGGCCTGTAGATCATAATGGCCCGTTGGAAATTTATAAGTATGTGCTGTATTTAGTTTCTTGCACTATTAATAAATTATTAACACGTTTCTCTAATTGGGGTTGATGTTAGGTTGTTAAAAAATTAAAAAATCTGTTTTAATTGAAGTGTTTTACAATGAATTTATCATTTTTTGTCGTAGCATGAAAGTGCTGAAATACAATGATAGGCGACGCACCTCGTGTGGATTGTATATTTTGTTACTTTTAATTATCAGCTGCAATTAAAAAAAAAACTGTATGGTAATTTATTTTTCGAGAAAGGAGTACTTTAAAATGTTTTTGTGGTGCACCTCAGAGCACCCCCCCCCCCCCCCCCGCCATCATCATTACTACACTAATACTTTAATGGCCCGTAACCTGTGCAATTCCACCTGACCCGCAGTTACCCAGTCCGCCCCTGCCTGTATTGTCACTGTAAGTAAACCAAACGTATTGTTATAGCAAGGATAGTGCCCATAATACTTTAATGAGACGCTAATTCGCCCCCAGGAAGATTTATCCCCGAAAGATTCATCCCCGAAAGATTTATCCCCGGTATATTCATCCCCTAAAAATTCGCCTCTAAGATATTCTCCTTCCGAGGATTCGCTGCCGGAAAAAGTGCTGTCACTATTACAATCAATTATATCTGGGTCGAGTTTCTTTAGGGGAAAGTATCCCGAAAGCATACTTTGGTGAGCTGATGTATGGGGGTGAATTTTCCATGAGCGGGGGCGATCCTTCAGGTGGCGAGGTCAAGTTTTCCAACGGCAACTTTATTGCCAAAGCGAATATTCCGAGGATAATTTACCGCATACTTCTGATCAAATATATATCATTTAGGATCAGAAAAAACTCGTGGGTAATCCACGCTCTAAATGGGGTGATGAACCATACAGGAAATAAACAACTTCCCCGTGGATATTTAATAATTGACGAACAGATATAATTGTGAAATGTTCGACATGTTTCGATTGTTAATCATTTTCAGGTAACAAATTATAAGTACGGTGCGTGAGAAAATTACATTATTGAAAAGTTGTTGAAGTCTTGACGTTACATTATTGAAGTAATAATAATAATTTAATTTATTACTTATAATATTTCAATGTAACGTCAAAACTTCAAAAACTTTTCAATAATGTAATTTTCTCACGCACCGCACTTATAATTTGTTACCTGAAGATTATTAACAATCGAAACATGTCGTAACGTTTCACAATTATATCTGTTCGTCAATAATTAAATATCCATGGGAAGGGTTTTGAGGAATTGAGTTGTTTATTTCCTGTATATCATTTAGGAATTGTGATTTGTTGATACCATCTTTACCATAGCCATTAAACGAAGTGTAGGTAACCTTAAACCCGGATTAAATTTGACCGCTTTGAATCATTATACCGAAACGGAGTTTTAGTTTTGGATGGAATTTGTCTGGGGCTAGTATTTTTAAGGGTAAACTCTGCCATGGAGATGGAATTTCACTGTTTACTTTGGGCTGTACATTTTATCATAAGATTTACTGGGCGAATTTCCCATGTTCAAATACTCTGAGGGTGAATACTTTAGGTAAATCTTTCCGGTGAGAAATTTCCTTTTGACAAATCTTCAGGAGCGAATTTTCCAAGGTGAATATTCACGGGGGGAATATACCATGGAGCGAATTTTCTAGGGGGTGAATTTACCGAGACGATTTTTCCAGGGCAAATCTTTCTACAGTCTATGTCGATCACGATCAACAAATAAGCCGTAATTCCAGTCATTTCTAGTTTTAGAATTGACTTTTCAATTTTCATACTACGATTATACCTACTTGTATAGCTGACTCGGCAATGTATGAGTTTAATGTTGAATGGTTTCATTCTCGACTTACCGCACATAAAATTAAAAGTAGGTATTTCATAAAGACACTTAGGCCTTAGGCATACAAGAATTATCGTAAGTTTGTCCACTTCGCTTCAGAATCGTATATGGACATTTTTGGATATTAATAGGGGACGGAATTGCGATTCTGTCAGTAACATGAGCATCCAGAACTGCAAACCAATTTATTAAAATAATGAATTCTAATATTTTCCCTTTACGATTTCAAACAATTTACATGGCATTAGGAATTTCATTAACTTGAGTACGGCACAGAGTCCTTCGTTAACTAATTAAGATGGACAACGTGCCGGTAATAAACCATGTCAGAGCTTTGAAACTAGTGTAGTAGGTACGTATTTAACGTCAGTTGTCAGCGACGCACCCCGATATCTTTGAACATTCATGCTAGATTCTTCAGACAGAAATTCAATATTGGATTATTTTATTTATTTTCAGTAAGCATACCGTTGTTTGCAAATCGATAACTTGTCTGTTCGAAGGATTTATTTTATCATTGTAGAATTTCGAGAATTCGATAAGGTTTGGGAGAAATATTTTCTTAAGATAATCCCAGGCAACAACCCCTACTGACTTGAGGGGGGATTATAGTACTGTTTGACTTGCAACTAATGATCCTATCTGGTAATGAACGATGCATTAAATTTTGTCTGTAGGTGTTAGGAACAGTTTAATAATGTACGAAATTGAGTTTCCAACTAGATTGTCCAATCACTTGTGACTTACTTACTCGTGATCAATCTCGCAGATTAAAATTATGTAGATTACAACAATTAACTAATGTGAATGTTTGTTTTAGATCTGTTGGTGATATGGACACAACGGGTTCAATATCAGCGGTAGAGGCGGCACTCGATCGTTTAGCGAAACAAAGAAGCGACTTGGAAGAGCTTTGGGCGGCACGTAAATTACGGCTAGACTTGTGTTTGAGATTACGAGTATTTGAACGTGACGCTCTCGAAGTTTCGTCGCAGTTAGAGATGTGGTCCGAAGAGCTTCAGCACAGCGAACTGACGAGAGATATAGCGAAAGCGGAACAGTATTTAAGGCTTCATAACGAAAGCGTTAGTCAAATGCAAAATACGACATTCCAAATCCTACAGCAGGGACAAGAGCTGGTGCAGGTCTTCGAAAATTCGGGCGTATGCATTATGGCCGATTCGCAGTACAATGCTCAAACTAGAGTTCAGGTGTTATTAGAATTTTTGCACGATCGAGAGGTCGACCTGGAGGATTTGGCGGAGGTGAAAAGGGTGAAGCTCGAGCAGTGCATTCAGTTGAGTCAGTTTCAAAATGACGCCAATCAGGTTATTAGTTGGATACGTAATGGGGAGTCGATGTTAATGGCCAGTTTCGCGATTCCGAATAGCTTGGCGGACGCCGAATTGCTCAAAAAGGAGCACGAGCAGTTTCAAGTGGCGATCGAAAAGACGCACACGTCAGCGGTTCAAGTGAAATATCGAGCGGACGCGTTGATTAATGGAAATCACTACGATCCGCAAAGTATAAGGGAAATTTCGGAAGAGGTTACGAAGCGCTGGCAACAACTGGTGACTTGCGCCGAAGAGCGGCACAAACTGGTAACGGCAAGTCTAAACTTTTACAAAACTGCCGAGCAAGTCTGTTCGGTATTGGACAGTTTGGAAAGGGAGTATAAGAGAGATGAAGATTGGTGCGCCAATGCCCATCAAGCCATGAACATGGACAAAGCTACAGCGATTTCACAGTTAATCAATAAGCACCAAGAACAGAAGGAAGCGTTTCTAAAAGCATGCACGTTAGCGCGCAGAACAGCGGAGACGTTTTTGAAGTACACCACGCGCAGTTTGCAATTCTACAATTATCCCCCTGGAACTGGTAACCAGGAGTCGCGGGTGAAAGGGATACTTGAAAAGTTGCTTACGCAAGAAAATAAAGTGTTGGAGCACTGGACGCAGCGCAAGAAACGCTTGGACCAATGCCAGCAGTTTGTACTCTTCGAACGATCGGCCAGACAGGCGATTGAGTGGATACACGATACTGGTGACTGCTATCTAACAACGCACGCAACGAATTTAGGCACTAACATTGAAGAAACCGAAAGTTTACTACGCGAGCACAACGAATTTAAGGGTACGGCGAAAGAAACGCGAGAGCGCGTCAAACTGCTGATTCAGTTAGCGGACAGTCTGGTGGAAAAAGGCCACGCGCACGCCAGCGCCATCAAGCAGTGGGTGGCGGCTGTCGATAACAGGTACAAGGACTTCAGTTCGCGAATGGACCTTTATCGGCAACAGTTGGAAGATATGCTCGGAATTCAAGCGGAAGAGAGTGAGAAGAAGGAGTTGTCGATCGATCGCAATTCGGATCCCAGCTTGGAAGCGAAAGTGAAAGAGGCCGCTGCCAAGGAGCTCAAAGAATTGAACGAGGAAAAACGGAAATCCGCCCGCAGAAAAGAGTAAGTAGAGCTTTAATCTTATCAACTGTTATAATTTGCCCAATTTCTTTTTATCAAATATGGTTTGTCAAAAGAAATCCCTTTATATGATGATTTTGTCCGTCTGTCCATCCGTCTGTTCCTCGTCT